AATTAGTTCGTTTTACCTCACGTGCATGGAACCAAACACAACAAAATTACTCTACAGTTAAAAAGGAAGTTTTGGCCATTGTCCATTGTGTCACCAAATTCCAAAGTGACCTTCTAAACCAAAAATTTCTCATACGGACTGATTGTAAGGCTGCAAAAGATATTCTTAATAAAGATGTTAAAAACCTTGTGTCCAAGCAGATTTTTGCGAGATTGCAGGGTATACTATCCTCCTTTGAATTCGAAATCGAGCATATTAAAGGCAATACTAATTATCTTCCTAACTTTTTAATACGTGAATTTTTGCAGGTGGGACAGGGACAGAAGAATAATACCAAATAAGGGGAAAGGGGAAATGGAAATAGTTCCAGCATTAGACAAGACCTTAATGCCTTCTCCTATAACCCCAAATCAATTAGTTAGAAAGCAAGTACAAGAAATAATATTCTCTTCTGAGCCAATATCAACACTTAATACCTCAGGAGGAGAAAAATCCAGGTTCATAGAAACCACTTTTATAGCTGAAATAATAATAGATGATATTCATACAGATAAAGATCCATATGAAATAACAAATATCTATTTAGATAATCATTTACATCCTTCCAATAATAATAAGACTCGAGAATGGTATGAAGCCATCCTCTTGGAAACCGGATCAACAACAATGGTCAATTTTTATAAGAAAAATACTAATATAATTGCATACTCTAAGTTCCAGATCCGCAAAATAATATCATATAAGGACTGGGGTATGGATCCAGTAAAACTAAGAAGGTTGCAGACATAAGGGCTTAATAACAAATACTTTCGATATACTGAATATGTTGAAGCATGGCATAGAGTTTTTGCCTTCCAAAATAACAATAACTCCCATACATGGTTCCTTCAAATAAAAATACCAGTGGTAGGAGAATTCCCAAATTAGTTTAAAAACTGGTTCCAAGTGTGGGGATCAGGAACCGAAATACTGCCGCCAACAATATAAGCCTCTCAGAGGAAATTTGTCGAATATAATAATAATGATACAAGAATAGACCTTCATATGTATTTCATGGCATTATACCAAATGCCATGGATCATGAAATGGTCCTACCAAATATCAGATAATTATACAAATAATTGGGAATACATTCCCAAATTGGGAAGACAGGTATACATAAAATGGTGGGATGTATACGAAAATAAAGCCCTTGATCCAGATAATATAAAACTGAAGAAGATCCCAATCTCACCACCTGAGGCTGGAATTAATAATATGACCGATTATATAAACAGAATGCGTCAGCAAAATCCCATGGCTACCAAAGAAGAATTGAAGAAAAAACTACTACAACTCTTTGAAGAAGAAGAAGAAGCTATGTCCATGTCCACACAAAACGAAGAGGATTATGCCCAGAAAAACGAGGATTGTGAATTCAGATTATCCCAAACCTAAGCTGGACTAATACAGGGAATAATGCTGCCGACAACCTTTTTGTTACCTCAAGATGTCACTATTCACCTTTTACTGTGTTGCCGACAACCTTTTGTCACCTCAAGAAGTTACTGTTCGCAACCTTTTGTCACCTCAAGATGTCACTGTTCACCTTTTACTGTGTTGTCGACAACCTTTTGTCATCTCAATAAGTCACTGTTCACCTTTTACTATGTTGACGACAACCTTTTATCACTTCAAGATGTCATTATTTACCTTTTACTGTGCTACCTACAGCTTTGGGTTACCTCATACCTTTTGAGCTGGCGTCCTTTATCAAATAAATCTAATAAGCTTTGGAGTCCGATGCTTATAAAAGGGAAGGAGAAGATGAAGCAAAAGCATCCGAGTGCTCTCCCCCAATAATCTTCTCTGCTCTCTTGCTCTCTCTCAGCCTTCCCTCTCAACTTCAGGTTTTCATTTCCCTCTCAATTAAGCTCGCAATTCTCTGTCCTCCTCTGCTTTAAATACTCTCCATCTCTCTGTACTTTCCATCTCTCTGCACTCTCTAATTCTCTGTACTCTCCAATTCTCTATACTCTCCACCTCTCTATACTCTCCATCTCTCTGTACTTTCCATCTCTCTGCACTCTCTAATTCTCTGTACTCTCCAATTCTCTATACGCTCCACCTCTCTGTACGCTCCATATCTCTGCACTCTCCATCTCTCTGAACTCTCCGTCACTCTGCGCTCACAAGCCATCTCTCTGAGCTCTAAGCCTTCTCTCTGCCATCCCCCTTTGTGTTCATTTCAGCCGTCTCTCTGCGAATCCACAGTCGCTGTTCTCAATCTCTGCCTTCTGTTATTCTCTTCTGCCTCTTTGTAGTATTTTGTCTCTACTGTTACTCTTCTTACTCTCTCTTATTTACTATTGAACTGCTGTCTTTTCTCTCTTTCTACTGTAATTCGGGTGGTGTATCTAGCCACACCAGATTTGAGTGATTGTAAAATATATGTGTGATTGTAATGAACTCTTTGCCGAGCTACTGCCCAGAGGAGTGGAAACTATTTTCAAGTTTTTGCAAGTGTCATATGTGAATGTATCCATACTCTGTTATGCAATTTAAGTTCATATTCTCTTTAAAGTCTGGGTACACTACTTATATTAACTGGTTTATAATAGATATTTCTCCATGTATGTGTATTGCTTCTTTTTATAAAACTTGTGTACGTTTAGAATAAATAGTTGCTTAAAATAGTTGCTAGATAGATCTTGGTGTCTTGGTATCAGAGCCATAGATTTACAGTGGTGAACTGTAGTACTAGGTATCTGTTCTAG